GTGGCCCTCCCCCAGGGATAAAAAAAAAAAGTGCTCTTTGGCCTTGAATATGAAGGGGACATAATCATTCTGGAAGCATCACAAGAAGACCTACACAAGAAGTGCATCACTGTGACTCCTTCAGAAACCAGGTTACAAGTGCGGCTACCCTGCCAAGCAGAAGAGAAAGTGTAAGTGAAGCGCTAAGATAAAACAAATACCATTAGAACTGGGCAAAAGAGGTACCTGGAAATTAATTGCATACTGCCAACACACGCACAGATTCCATAAGGGAACAATGTCTAAACCCAAACCCAAAAGAGTAGCTGTTGCAGTTTACAGTTCACATTAAGGATTTCAACTAACTATTAGCATGAAGAAATATTCTAGTTGAGAGAGAGAGAGAGAGAGAGAGAGAGAGAGAGAGAAAATTTCTATTTCAAGTAGGTTTCTTAGTGAGAAAAGTTCCTAAACTAACAAAAAAGTAGGTGACGGCAAACTATTAATTCAGAAAATATCTGCATGGAGAAAGAGGTAGCCTTTGAGTACCAATTATGTTTGAGTACCAATTATATTATTATGTACCAATCACTATGCTAAGGAGACTTATGTGTCGTATTTCCTTTAGTCCTGTGAGGTAGACACCCATTTCCAAAGCTATTTTACAAACGGGAAGTGGAACTTAGATTTTGTACCTGTCTTAATTCATAAATGACAAATCTATTCTGTGACTCAGGAGCTATCTCAGACCATAAGAACCAGTCTTTAACACTATCGCTTTACTCCCGTTTAAAAACACTGTCTCTTGGGCTGGAGAGATAGTGTAGCACGCAGGCTGCTTGCCTTGCAAATGGCAAACCCAGGTTTGACCCCTTATGATCCACAATCCCCACCAGGAGTGATCCCTCTTTGGAAAGCCAGAAGCAAGCCCCGAGAACCTTGAAAACTTAATGGCAAACCACAAACTTCATCAACAATTGCTGGACTTTTTCTTTAGCTTTCAATCTTTAATATGCCAAAATAATTCTAGAACATGAGCTTCCTAAACTTTTAAGCATTAGTCTCTATTGCATCTATCCATTAGAACAATTAAAAAAAAAACATTAATACTGTACCAATCACTTTCAAAAGCCCAGAGATGTAATCAAGTGACCCTATTAGTCTTAAACATCATTCTCAAACCAGAAGATAGATTAGGAAACTTGTATTCTAAGTGCCAACATCCATATAAAATTACTGTGAATTAAGAGTAATTTCAATCAGATCTTATAAAACTGAACTTTTTTTCTCAAGACCAGAATCAGAGCAACTATAAGATAGTTAAAAGGGTCCAAGCTATGGAATATAAAATGGTTTGCCATGTGCCAACAGCAAATATTAGGGGACAGGAAGAGCGGCAACAATTTTAAAAAGCAGTAATAAAATTACAAAAATTATTAATTTCACTGGCCATTTAAACTTAGTACAAACTAATTACCTCAAAAAACATATGCTGGGCTGGAAAGATGGCTCAACGTATTTGAGTTCAAGCTTTGCTTATGGGAGGCCCTGTTTGGGTCTGTAGTAACAAATGATCCCCAGAGCACGAAGCTAGTCAATAAGGTAGGACCTATTTCAAAAACATGAGGCCAGGGGGCTGGAGTGATAGTACAGGAAGTACTTGTCTGCCTTGCATGTGACCAACCCGGGTTCTATTCCCAGCATCCCATATGGTCCCCTGAACACCACCAGGAGTAATTCCTGAGTGCAGAGCCAAATAACCCCTGTGCATTGCTGGGTGTTACCCAAAAAGCAAAAAGCAAAAAAAAAAAAAAAAAAAAAAAAAAAAAGGCCAGAGTGATAGTTTGGCAGTTAAGGCACTTCCCTTGCACATGGCTGACCTAAGGCTCAATCCCAGGCACATGTGGTCCCCCAAGCCCACCAGGAGTAATCCCTGAGCACACCTTTCTTAGGTGTGACTCAAAAATACAAAACCAAAAAAAGTGAGCATATGCTGCTTTATTAAGACCCAGTATCTTACAATGTGGTATCCTGAGTTTAAGTTCAAACCATTAAGAACCTCAATTACATCTTCTTAGAAGGCACTTACACCATGGTCGTTAACACACTATGAACTGGCTTATACAAGAACACACACCAGCATGAGTATATACTGTTTATTCTGTAACTCATTACTCACTCTTAAAAATAATTAATTTCTTTAAAATGTACAGGGCTGAATAGACAGAATAGCTTGTAGGGTGCTTGCCTTCGATGCAGCTCACCTGGGTTTAATTCCTAGCACCCCATATGGTCTGGAGCGCACCAGGAATGATCCCTGAGCACAGAGCAAGGAGTAAACCCTGAGCAGAGGCGGGTGTGGCCAGAGGCGGGTGTGACCCAAAGCCTCCCACCCCACCCCCAAATAAAAATTCTTTAAATATAAAAGGTTTGGGGATAAGACTCAGCAGTAAAGCACATGCACTGCCTATCTGAGGAGTTAGTTTCATTCAACAACAATAAATAACACATTAAATAAAATACAATCAATCATATAATAATCCATTTACTTTTGCAGTGCTGGGATTGAACCCAAGGTCTCAGTTTTTTAAAGTTTATTTTCTATTATATTTCAGTGCTCGGAGCCACCAGTGCTAAACCCAGATCTCTCAGATCTCTTCATAATTTATTTTTAAGTATCACATTAGGAGCTGGAGAGATGGCATGGGTCAAAATGCATGCCGAACATTTAAGAGGCCCAGATTTGATCGCCAGTGTGGCAAGATGCTCCACAAGCACAGGTGGAAGCAGTCCTTAACACTTCTAGGTATGATCCAAACTGCCTCCCAGAAATAAAGTATCCCAACAGCTATTTAGGGAGACAGTATGAGATGGGATTTTTTTGGACGGGGGCCACACCCAGCAGTGCTCAAATGCTGCTTCTTGTGTGTGGTTCTTCGTGGTGCACAGTGAACCAAGTTAGGGACTGACCCTGGGCCTCCCTCATGCAAAGCTTACTTTCTCCCAAAGCCTATTTTTAAAATAATTAAATTACAAGGTAAGAGAGATAATAAGAGGTTACAGAGCTTGCCTTGAATCTAGCAGATCCTGGTTTAATACCTAGCACTGCATACGGTCACCTGAACTTGGACTGCCAAGAGTGAGTCCTGAGTATGGAGCCAGGAGTTGCTCACCAACACTGAGTGTGGCTCATCCCTCCTCCCCCAAATAAATAAAACAATTAAATTACCATATGGCTCCACTTAAGATCATCCACTCAGCAAAATGAACAGTTATTCAATGGAGGAAGTGTAGGCAGAAGATTTAGCTTCAGTGTATAACAGGAAGTACTAGCTATGGAAGTTTAGAAACAAATATTAAGTTCTATGTTAGCCTAAGAAATAAAGAAAAACATGCTGGAGAATAAAGGTAAAAGAGAAAGTTTTCATGACCTGTCTTCCAAGACAATCCAAAATCTGTCCTATAGTTAAAATGCAACTTTCATTTTTTCACTAGATTTACAAGCTGGATTTTTTTTGCTCCAAGTGTTTATTATACTTTACACATTCCTAAGGAGGCAAGAGTGTCCTGGAACATTATACAGTTCCATATCTTCAGGTCTGATGATTATTACCTTTTTTTTTCTTTTGGCAGCATTACGAAAAGCAAATAACCTTTAAAGTCCGGAAGTTTCACAACAATGGGAAAACAGTTAACACTACTGAACACTTCAAATGGTGAAGATGGGGCTGGGGAGCTGGCTCCAAGAACTAGTGTGGCAGAGTCCTCCCAACCCCCACCTGGAATGGCCGCCCAGAATCCCAGCAAGGAGTAGTCCCAGGGTCGCCAGCTGCCCCCCCACCAAAAAGGTAAGATGGTAAAATTTGTTTTTATCACATTAAAAAAAAAACGCATAAGTTAATGAGAAATCACTCCACTTCAATGTTAATAGTAACTCGTTATGTAAATTTTGATTACCGAGGCAACGTTCTTGTTATGCTTCCTTTTTAATAAAATAAACTTGCCGTTGTCTCTAACAGCTGGATTCGTCTTCACGTAATTAATTTTGGAAGACACACACTGCCGTACAGGCACAAGTTCTCCGAGCCTGAACTCGAGCGAAAAGTGAAGCACCCGTCTTCAATTAAGCATCTTTCAAATCATCTGAATTACTTATTGCCAACAAATACCGGTTAGGAAATTACAAGTGTTGTTTCTACTTCAGCTGATTCCTTCCATTCAGTGAAGTGCAAATCTCGAAGCGGAACAGAGAGTGCGAGGGTCTGGCAAAGGCAACGGGCTCTCGAGAACGCGGGGGTCGCTCGGGATTGTGAGGTCGGCAACCCCCCGCCCCCCACTTCTCTCCGTGGAGGGCTCCAGAGCGTGGCGCCCCGCAACGCAACCTCCCTCGACCCCCCTCCCCCCGCGGCTTCCGCGGTCCCAGCCCACCCAAAACCGAGAGGCTGCCTCCAGCTCCCTCCCGGCGGCCCGGGTCTCTCAGGCGAAGGGCCTCCAGAGCCAGCAGCTCGGCTTGACCGCCTCTGAGGGGAGGGTCTCCCGGGAAGCTTTAACTTTGCGCGAACCCCCTTTCCTCACACCGAGTGCCCGCAGAAAGCCTGTGTTCTGGAAACATCTACCATCTACCCCCCCACCCCCACCCCCGGCAACTCAAATGTCTTTTCTTTTTTTTTTTTTTTTTTCCCAGTTCAGCTGCCGGAGGGGGCCCGCGGCGCTCAACCTACGCCCTCTTCTTCGAGCACCTTCTCCAAGTGCCTACGCCGGGCTCCCTTGGCAGCGTCCTCCCCACTTTCGCCCTCCGTCTTCTCCCGCATCCATTCGAGCCCAGGGGCCAGAGGGGCCCTGCCCACCCCCACCCCCGCCGGTGGAGAGCGCCGCCCCACAGTCAGCCCGAGCAGGTCGGCGGCCCCCCCCCCCGGCGTGGGATGGGGTGGGGTGGGGTGGGGTGGGGTGGCGGGTGGGTGGGGGGAAGCCGCTCGTGGCGCGGCTGAGGGCGACCAGGCTGAGGAGAAAGTCAGCCTCACCTTGACCCTGATTTCGTAGGTGGTGAAGCGGCCCCGGCCGACCCCCACGGTCTGCGGGTTGCTCACATCGATCTCCAGGAAGTTGCTGGGAGGCCCGTAGGCGTCATTGAGGTTCTGGGGCTTAGTGATCAACCGTCGGGTGTCGGCCACGGTCTCCGCCATGTCGGTGCTTGCAGCCGCCGCTGCTGCCGCCGCCGCCGCCGCCGCCGCCGCGGGCTCCCTCCGCCCCCTCCGCGTTCCACCGCCGCAGCCGCCCGCCGCGGGGACACCGGGACTCGCGCGCCGCGCTCGCCTGGCGAACGAGCACGTCAGGCGGGCGTCAGACCCCGCCCGTGCGCGCGCGCCCAGCTCCTCCCCACGCCCCGCCGGCTTCCGTCTCTTGCTATTCCGGGCGGAAAAAAAAAAAAAAAAAAGCTGACTCGACACTACGCCGCGCCTCAGCCCCAGGGGGCCCGAGCGCCTGAGGCGGCCGAAGGGGAGCAGCGGGGCCCGGAGGGCTGAGGCCAGGCGGGTCACGGGATTTGTAGGCGCGGCGGGTTCTCGGCCGGAACTACAAGGCCCAGCATGCACCGCGCGAGCGCGCCGCCGCCTGGCTGCGGGGCCAAGGTGCGGCACCGCGCCTCAGTGAGCTGGGGTTAGGCGCTTCCTGCCTTGGGCTGTGGGCCGGGGCTCCGTGTTAGGAAGGTTAGGTCGTTGGAACCGGCTTTCTGGTGACTTAGGGACCTGCGGGGGCCAAAAATTAGAAGAGTGAGATCGAAGAGGCTCGCCCGTCGTCGAGACACGACCACCTCCGCTAACTCTCCATGCCAACTTAAACCACACCGTGGACCCCACAAAATTCCTTTCCAGAATGGGTGTTGGAACATTGTGTGACTGACACCCAATCAGGAATAGCTTTGTGACTGTGTATCTCACGGTGATAGAATTTTTTTTTAATTCTTAGAAAAAAAATTCCTTCTCAACGACCTTTACCACGTGCCTCAAATGATGAGCTTGACTTAAGCTTTAAAATATCCCCCTGCAATGTGTCTTGGATCCATGAATTAAAGGCGGACTTTTAAAGTAAGAGAGTAGCTAAAACTCCTCAAACTTTGAAGTGATCTTATGTAAGGTAAAGGTCAAAACGTTTGGCGGGGGATTGACTGGGTCCCTAGAAAATTAAACAAGTAGGTTGAACCCTGACAGGCATGACCTGTGTAGGAGTGATTTGCAGCTTTTCTCCTTCATTTCTCACAATGTCCTGGTATGTTTAAAGGAAATGGAAGCTATTCACCTTTGTATAGTATTTGAAATGAAGAGTTCTTAGTGAAAATATATATGTACAATATATTTTTTAATTTTTATTAATTTTTAAATTTTTATTAGAGATACAGTTGCAGACTTACAAATTTTTGTGCTTGGGTTTCAAGAAAATATATTTTGTTTTGAAAAAAGTATATATATATATATTGTTTTGGTTCATATCTGGTGGGTGTTAAGGCTTAGTACTGATTGCATTGAGGGGTTACACATTGTGGGACTCAAGAGTCCATATGGAGTGCTCAACCCGTTGTACCATCTCTCCAGAGCACTTTTTGGTTGGGGGCACACCCAGCGGTGCTCTGGCTTTCTTCCTGGCTTTGCATCCAGGGATCACGCCCGGCAGGCTCAGGAGGCCATATGCTGTGACGGGGCTTGAATACAAGGAAAACACCCTACTTGCTGTACTATATAGCTTGGGCCTCTCCAGCCCCCTTTATATGAAAAATTTAAGAAAAAAGACTATAATTCATGGAAAGCAAATGCAGATTTTGAAGATTAAGATTGAAGGATAAACTATCCTTGGCTGGGAAGTCATGATTCTACAACCATTTTGTGCTTTTAAAATACGTTTAGTTTCAGAAACTATATTTACTTTACATAATCTGCTCTGTCCCTGAAAAACACTTGTCATTCCTGATCTTAAAATGATTGAAATAAAGAACACGTCCAGAAAATTTATTGAATCAACACGTTTATTCAGTACTTACTAAATATTTTCATCTCCGGGTTCTAGAAAGATAAGGGTAAATAAAGTCCCTGATCTTGTAAGGTTAAATAACAAAAACCCAGATGAATTTAATGTTCTGGTCTAATAGGCTTTATTAAATAATTCATGAATCAGGTACCAACCATCTAGCAACTGGAAAGCTACCCCATTAAGCTCTACAAAATAAGATAGCTTTTAGTAGGCAGAAAGGGGAAATAATTCTAGGCTTAGGTAACCTACTCATGAGGAATAGAAAAAGATATTGTAGCAGATTATCTCCTCTTCCTTTGGGAAGTGCAAAAGATTATCTGGTGCTGACCAGTAAATTCTACAGACCAGTTAGTACTACATTCCTAGGGAAGGTTGCAAATGCAGCTAGGTTAATGTTTGCCTCCAATTTGGGACTCTCATTTTCTTTTTCTTTTTTTTTTCCTGTTCTTTTTTATCTCAAACCAGGGTCTCACACATGCAAGGCAAGTGCTGAATGGCTGAGCTATATCCTCAGCTGTGGTTTTCTTTTTCAAAGGACATAGAACCTAATATATAGTCTTATCTTGGAAAGACATCACCCGCCATTAAATAGTAAATAGGGGTCAAAGAGATAGTATAGTGGGTAGGGCATCTGTCTTATTTTGCATGTGGCCAGCCCAAGTTCTTACATGTGACCAACCCAAGTTCCATCCCCAACACCACAAATGGTCCCCTGAGCACCTGCCAGGAATACCTTTAAGTACAGAGATAGAAGTAAGCCCTGAGCATCATTGTGTGTGGCCCTAAACCAAAACTGACAGTTTAAAATTTTTAAAGATACCTGCCTTATTGGTGGTAGATGTAAAATTGGAAAGAGTAAGATATTCACTCAGAGAAATGTGAATATGTCTTTCAGAAAGTAAGGTAATATTGGGGCCAGAGAGACAGTACATCAGGTAGGGCACTACCCACTACCTTGGAAGGTCTACCCAAACTCAATCTCGCACATCCCAGATGGTCCTGGAGCCCACCAGAAGTGATTCTGAATGCTGAGCCAGGAAAAATACCTGAGCACTGCCAGGTATGGCCAAAAAAAAAAAAATTTAAAAAAGTAAGGGGGAGAGATAGCACAGCAGGTAGGGCATTTTGCCTCACATGTGGCCGACCCAGGTTCGATTCCTCCATCCCTCTTGGAGAGCATGGCAAGCTACCGAGAGTATCCAACCTGCATGGCAGAGTCTGGCAAGCTACCTGTGACGTATCTGACATGCCCAAAATAGTAACAACAAGTACGTCTCACAATGGAGATGTTACTGGCACCCGCTCGAGCAAATCGATAAACAATGGGAGGACAGTGCTACAGTGCTACAGTACCAGAATATGCCCAGACAGAATTCCCTACTAGTTGTGTCATCTGTGCCAAAAAGACAGTTGGAAACTTGACTGGTATGATCATGGTCATGATCACAATCATCCTGTTGTTCGTCGATTGTCTCGAGCAGGCCCCAGTAACATTTCCTTTGTCCTAGCCCTGAGATTCTACAAAGTGCCACATTCAAGGCTCTTTGAGGGTTAGGAGAATGAGACCCATCATTGTTACTGGTATTTGGCATATTGGATACGCCACAGGGAGTTTGCCAGACTCTGCCGCGTGGGCAGGCTACACTCAGTAGCCTGCCAGGTTGTCAAAGCAAGAATGAGATAATAAGATGTTGCGCGGTCGTGAATGTTGCCACGCGCTTCCGGGAGCTGGGTTTTATAGTCTCTGGGTCTTGGCCGTTGATGGAATTACACGGGGGGCGGTGTGTGTGTGTGGGGGGGGGGGGACAGTTGGTGGGTGTGACCCCCGCCTACTGGAAGATGGAAGATCTGGGTGGACGATGCTCAGCACCGATCCAAGTAGGCTTGGAGATCTCAGCCCGGGACCTGCATGCCTTTGTTCCTCTGCTGGTACCTTCATGCGTGTGGTGAGTGGTCTCAGCATGGTTGTGGCTGGTTCTGGAGGTCTTCGAGGCTCTGCCGGGGTTCTGCTCGGGGTGGGGAGGGAAACTCAACCCCCCCCCCCCAGGGGCCCCGGCGAGGACAGCCAGGCGTGGGGGCAGGAGACTCTTTAAAATCAAAATATTAAAATTAAAAAGAAAAAACCACAAATGTTGGTTACAGGGATAAGAAGGGGCAGGTAGAAGAGGGTCACAGCACGAATATTTAAACTATCCCCAAGTTTGACAAGCTTTTGCCCAACAGCAGTACATTGCATAAACAGTGCCTCATATGCCATAGAAAACCCTGGAGCATTAAAAACAACGCATCTTCAGCTATACAAAACAGCATAAATGAATCAAAAAATAAAATATGATGCGTAAAGGCAGACACAAAAGACTGCAGAGTATATAATCCCCTCTGTATACAATAAGCAAAATAAAATCAAGATGCTGGTTACTCTGTATAGGAGAGGGACAGCCTAGCAACACTCAGGGAAGAGTGTTGGTAACAAGGATATTATGTTTGTTTTATATTTTATTTGCTTTTATCTTGCATCACTGTATCACTGTCACCCCCAGAGTAGTACATTTAAGATGAGCATAAAAGGCTCTTAAATTGGAGGATAAAACATCTGAGAGACCCTGGGATACAGTAATCATGTCTCCTAAAAAGTGTTTCTTTTCTTTCTTGGAGTCCTGGGCAGCAGCTGCCTCCAATAGGGGAGTCCACTGCAGAGCAAAGTAGAGCGGAGCATCATATACAGCCAATCAGTACAAGAGGAGCTTCACCCTACAAACAACAGGAAGATTTCTCTTTAGGAGATAGTTTTAGATTCCTACAAAATCCGAAAAGAGCAATCTTGTATGCTTTATGAGAATTTAGTGTCTGAATGAAAGTTTTTTTAAAAAAAAAATACCCTAATTTTTAGTTTTCTTCTAAGCGTTGTCTAGTTTGAAAAGGTGATGAAAAATATAACCTGTTTACAAGCTTACAACCTATTGGAAATTAAACATAAAAGGAAGACACAGAAACTATAGAAATAAAATTATATTGAAGGATATAGACTCATGTCTACATTTTCAGAAGTCCATGTTTTTGAATTAGGTTTAATGTCATAAAAACAGTCATTTAAAATTAATAGTTAATACAATATATTTGGTTTTTACCTTCCTTTGCCTTGGATTGCTGGGTAGTACTGGACATGACTATCTTTTATTTTTCTTCTTTCAGTACCAGGTGTTGATCTGCTTTGCATTCTGGAGGCCCAGGTTTGACACTACTGGTTCCCTGAGCACCACCAGGAGTGACCCCCAAGCACTGAGCCAAGAATAATCCATAAGCAATATGACTGTGGTTCAAAAATCAGAACCAAAACTTAGTAGATTTATTTATAAGTAAATAAAGAAT